CTATGCCCGGTAGTCCCTGCCTTAGACGTAGAGGGAGTCTCGCTAGGTGCGGTATTTGTATCATTCGCCCGTATATTCGACCGCTAGCGAGATAGACAGACTCGTTGTCGCCGTAGCCCTCTGATGTTGGCGGTTGGTACCCGCGGATGATTGGTGCCCGGGAGATGTTGCGCCGCATTGATGCCTCGACCTGTCGGCGTCCTATTGATACCGATCCGCCACATAACCAATAATGACAATTGCATGTATTGGGACATCCACTGCTATGAAATGTTGTTTCGTTGTATTTGTCCAATGCTGATATGTGAATCCAAATGGACTATTCCCAAGGTGACTAAAAGTCTAGGATGATTAGGATCTTGTATTTGGTTTCTTCGTCTTTGCTGATGTAATGGATTTTGTAGAGATTTCCTTATTATTTATATAATCCAATATTTGTTATTTTTCGAGCATTCGGATGGTGATGAGTATTAGAAAATCGCTGAGCATAAAAACGGGAAGCATATCGGTAATTTGCATGGCGTTCACCGAAGGTAGAGCTGCCATTCGTCTAATGGGTTTCCCCTAATTTTTAGTAGTTTCAATAGCGCCCGGAGATGCCCGGTGAGATTTTCTGTAGTCATCCGGGTTCACCGATGTATTCCAGTTTGATTGCTGAATTTGTAATAAAGTTCAATTAAAACAAAATTAATAGTTGTGTTACGACACAAACTATAGTTATTTTATCACTCAACCCTCAAGTTTACGTGACACTCGCTTGCTGTCGAAACTATCAGCCTCCACTGACCATCCGTGTCATTATGCTGCGACACCCAACAGATCTCACAAAGGACATAACCTAACAAACAAACACTCACCTCAATAAAGAAATAAATCAATCAAACTCGAAGATGGTACCTCACTGAGGGTAGCCATCCGCATGTTATATTATTATACGACTAAGCTATAATATTTTACCAAATGTCCTACTGGACAAATTGTAAAATTCAAATAAATAAATAAAGAAAGAAAAAAAAATTATGCTGTGTGTACGTTGCGTACGGTGTTGTTGCACGCGTTAGAGCCACCTATACTAATATACTGGACAGCAATGCATTCGTTTTTCTATGATGACTTCCAAGTACTGTGTTCGCATTGTAGACGCATTAGAAGCAGTCTAAATGCAAACGCAGTGCTACCCGGTTACAATTTATATTGGGTTTGGTATAATTTGGTCCATACGGAAGATCATACCGAGAAGTTTCTCGCCGAAAAACCTGACGAGTTCTGGACGGATGGAATATTCAAGTTGCGTGGAAGATGCAGAAAGCTTGTGGAAAAAATGGCACCTATATAATCAATAAATGTATTACATTTAAGTTTATAGAAGTTTTCTTACGATAACGTACCTAACTTAAAAAACAATTAACAGTATCGAGGTTTCAGGCGGAAAAATCCGGCCTTTTAACGCCCTCTATTCTAAATTAGTAATTTTATAAATAGCAACCCTAACCAAAAGTGATTAACACATCGATAACACCATTTGGAATACAGATCGCCGTTCTAGAGGTACAATGGTAACTTTGTCTTTGTCCTTGGTAGTCTATTGCCTCTTGCACGCAAACCTCGTTTATGGGTCTCGTCAACGTATGATTTCTTTACCTCTCGAATACCAAATACGGGCTCTAATTAGATCCGTCGATAATCGTCACGAAGTATCCCTACTTTCCTGCTTCAACCATAGAGCGATAAGATAGCGTTTGTGCGTTGGCAAGATGAAATAGTGTCCTCTTTAGCGTCCGGACTTTTGTTTATCCGTTTTAGCTTCCGTCGGTATTCCCACGAATTCTTGGAAGTGCACTTCAAGCGTGTCATATTAAGTTACATTGTCTGACTGCTATCCACATGCTCTAGTGACGGGTATCGGTATCTCACTCATGCTCGTTCATTCTCCTTCCCTCAGTCGAATTCTAGGAATTTAGCAATCCAGATAAGCGCCCAGATTAATTTCGGACTTTGAACGCTAAAATGGACAGTTATATATAAAAACAACTTCTTTGTATGGTCCGAATGGACACTGCATCCACTGTACGGCGTCCGCTAGACGACTCGCCGTGTGAAAATTAATCTGCAAATCAAATATTTGTGAAACAGAAGCTCAGATCGAAAAATCGATAAGAACGAGAGGTATTTGATTTTTACCATACAATCGGAATGTGTCATACAATATGGAGGTTCTCGTAACCTAATTACGTACGTTATTAAAAAACATAAAATGTAAACCGAACGAGCTTGACCCAACATCAAATGTTTTTCTCCTAACTTTATAACTTTTGTGTAAAATATTTGTTTCGATAAATTTTTAATTTCCGCGATATTTCGCTGTCAAAGTTAAATTTAGGACCTGTATAGACGCCTGTTGAGGTTTCTCAAATAAAGCGAACCTACCGCACAAATTTTATTTCATATTTCCCACTTATTTTTTCATGTAGAATCACTCCTTGTTGGAGTAATATTTCTTACCGGACAAGAAATATTGTATAAGCAAAATGTTGAAACCAAGTATCTATAAAATACTGTTATAAATAATAATATTTTAAATTTTCACTTAGCTTTTCTAAATAGTAAATAATAATGAGTATTAATTTAAAATAAGATAAATTTTAGTCGAGCATCGCAATTATTATTAATAACCTTGTGGAGACAGCCTGAATAAGACCTTTGGAAATTAAGTTGTCAACATAGAGTAGATAAGGCTGCCATTTCTCGCGTCTCATTGCTAACGTTTCTTCATCAACCTCTTCTTCTTCTTCTACTTGCTCTTGTTCTTCCGGTACTTCCGCTTCTTCAGTTATTTCCTCATCCGGCCTAATGAAATATTAATACAAAATTATAAGACAATAGTCCTTCTTAATACTGTCAATTATAAATTATTAAAACAAAAATATTATTTTATATCTAAATTACCGGTCGTCCTTTTTTATTATTGTATTTTAATTTCTATAATTGTTTATTCATTTATTCGCGAAAAATTTATTACTGAAAATAAGAAATGATCACATGTACTGAATAAGAGTTTCCGTTAATTGTTATCTGTTACGAAAAATACGATAAAAATGCATAATGAAACAAAAATGATGATATTCAAGTTTCCTAATTTTACTTTGCAGCTTCAGCATTGTTTCCTTCTTCTGCTTTTTCCGTTTCTACTTCTTCTTCTTCTTCAGTGTGGGCTACAAATAATTGAATTGAATAAATAACGCTTTCAAAAAATTTATAAAATGTTTTGTTAATCAGTATCCACAGTAAAATACAAAAATTATTGAACGGTTACCGTCTAATAATTCGAGCTCTTCTTTATTGTAGACATGATCTGGGAGCAAGTCGAAAAATAGTTTATAATTTTCTTTTAATACGTGTTCCAGTTCTTCAGCTGTTGCTTCGATCTCCGCAAATCTTTCCGCAAATTTGTCGTCTTTATCAGCGACTGACAATAAATTTTCATCTCTCGCATCTTTACGGTAAATAACTGGCATCATTGCCCAAGTATACATTTCATCCATAATATTATTCAAGTTCTCTTGCGCGCGAAACACTCTGGCATGTAATTTCCAAGTAATTTTTAACAAATTATCGATATATTCTGGAACCTCTAAAATATATTTGTTTGAGTAAGTTGAAGAATTCAATAAACACATCCGCGTATTTCTTAATCAAAGTTGAACTATGCGCTAAAGATGTACGAGAACCCGAAAATGTCGGGAATCCGATACTCGGGATAGGTCGGGTCGAGTCTCGAACGTATCTCGTAATTAGAGATTGTCGGGACTCCCGAGAATTTCAGGTTCTCCAGTATTATAAAATTGTACAGTCTAGAACACGAAGCAACGATAATAACGAAATACGTGTTATATATAATATTTAAAATATTATTAGAGATGTGTGAGAACCTGAAAATATTGGGTCGGGTCAGGTCGGGTCGGGTCGGGTCGGGTCGGGTCGGGTCGGGTC